CAAATACTTCACAGACCTGGAAAAATCCAGAAATACACATAGCATGAGAGTGTATTTGCATGAAGGAAAGGAAGACTCAGGCATCCCAGCTGGCTTTGTGCAACAAATTGCTGTGAGAGAGAGGTATGTATCTGCTTGTCTGTATCCTCCACACCAAAGACACTTTGCAGGTGACTTTTTGGAGATGGTTCAGAACAGCAAGTCACAAAATAAAATGGTGAACCTTGGCCTAAACATAAAATGAAGTAGAACAAAAAATAGAAAATAAAGACTTTCATTTCTACAGCTCCTTTCACAACCTCAGGTGTCCAAAATGCTTCAGTAATGAAGTAATTTGAAGTTTACTCACTTGTAATGTACAAATAATTGTGAACTTGAATGCAGCAAGATCCCACAAAGAGCAATAATAAATTACATAACTTACTTATAGGGATATTGATTGAGAGATGAATATTGGCCACTATAGTACAGAAAAACTCTTGCACACGTTTTACATTCACATGGCAAGAGAGATAGGACCTTGGGTTAAAATCTCATCTGAAAAGGCAACAGACAACAGTTTCACACTGCTTCAAAATCCTAGTTGACTGCCAACTTAGATTGCAAGCTCAAGTGCTTGAGTAGCATTTGAGCCCATAACCTTGAAGTCCAGATCAGAGTGCAATCACTAAGCTATAAATGAAACCAAAGAAAAGAAGCTAATTATTTGTCTGACAACTGGCTATTACAACTTGCTACTCATGACACCCATCCAAGACAACTGAAATTCTATGGATAACCTTGCAACAACTTTCACACTTAAAACAGTGATCCTCAAACAAAGACTAATGAGTACCTCTGCCATCATGCTGCTCTGATTGTATCAAATGCTGTATTCAAGCTCAGAATCACACAAGTTCCCACAGCTGGCAATAACCATGTAAACTTGTCAAATTCATCAAGATCAGCAGCCAGGAATCACAATATCATATACCAATCCGATGAACAATCTGAGCAAGATAGCTAAATAATCTCAAGAAAATTAGCAACACATTCCATAATACCCTCTAGTAAATAAACTTGCTGCAATAAAATTTCAGCTGCAAATGTCAACAGCCTGCATTGATCAAAGTTGATTTATAATTAAAGGTACACCACTGTTCTTAATTCCAAAATTAATTCAAATTGTGAAATACTGAAATCCACTTTTACCTTGTAATATGATTTGAGCTTTTTTTTGCACAAATAAATAGCCAATGCTACTGCAAAACACCTGTAAAAATGTATCTAATAATGTGCTACTTCCTACAATAGTTTCTTATACTTAACTATTTAGCAGCAGCAGCAGCAGCAGCAGCAGCAGCAGCAATCTAGAAGCACAAGTTAACTGACAATAATTTAAAAACTCTTCGTTTTGATGGGGAAAGCACGATGCACAGCAAAAGCAAGAGGCTGTGGGGAGAGGAAAACAAAATCATCTAGTTCCAAAACAAAACAAGGAAATTTTTGACAAAAAAATAAAGGCAGCTACGTTTATACAGACAAACAAAAATGAAGAGACAATTTTAAAAAATGTATAATTTTTTCTGCAAATCAGGAGTGGAAAATCAAATTCAAAGAAACGTAATTTTAGAGATCCAGTCTGATACAAATGAAAAACCTAAATTTTAAATTTATTTACGCTATGGCAATTTGCTCCTGGATCAGGTAATAATGCAGATATTACTACCCTTCAGGTTCTGCTTTTTAATCTTAGAGTATAAACAGCTAGAGGCTATTAGTAGAACTGTTCCTACTCCTACCCATGTTGTTGCTACCTATGTGGACCAAGACTATTGGGCCGTCGCCATCCCATTACAAATTCCTCAAGCCCGAAGCAAATGTCCTAAATCTTGGAAACAGACAAGTGACATAGCCATATGAACTCTTACTCAGCTGTAGAGAACAACATCCTTTAAACTATGCTGTCCTTTACTACCAGTACATTCCTATTAACTCCCCAGTTTGAATGCTTTCATGTGCCAAAATGCCATCATCAGTTCACTCATCCACCTTGGCTTTCAAACATACAGGCGGCAAGAACCTCAAAGCAGGTTGACAGTTGTAAACA